AAAAAAAAAAAAAAAAAAAAAAAAAAAAAAAAAAAAAAAAAAAAATAAATAAATAAATAAATAAATATAATTAATATAATTAGTATAATAAATATGATGAGTATAATAAATATAATTAATATAGTGAGTGTAGTAAATATAATAAACATAATAAATATAATAAATATAATAAGTATATAATATAATATAATATATAATAATAAGTATATATAATATATATATAATATATTATAATATAATAATATAATAAGTATGATATAATATAATATATAATAATAAGTATATATAATATATATATAATATATAATAATATAATAATATAATAAATATAATAAGTAAATATATTAAAATAAATAAATAGACTAACAAAATAAAAAAAATAAAGAGACAAAACAAATACAGATAGATACAAATACACTACAAACAAATAAATAAAATAAAGATATAAATGCACAAACCCTAAACCCTAAACCCTAAACCCTAGTTTCTCAACCCCTAGATGGGGGGCCCCCCAACAAGTATTATAAGTGCTGCAGTCTGGGGGCCCCTTTAATAACATAAATAAATGTAATATACCTGAATTCTCCTCTCGGCAGTCTCGCACTAGTACCCTCTTCCTCTGGGGCCCCCTGCAGCAGGGGGCCCCCCTCGGGGGCCCCCCCATCCAGGGGGGCCCCCACCAGGGGCCCCTCGGGCTGGGGGGCCCCCTCCCTCTCCAGCTGCTCCGGCTGTAGAGGGAATATCTCCAGGTTATCCCACGGAGCAAACGCTGACCGACGGGCCCCTGGGGCCCCCCTAGGGGGCCCCCTGGGGGGCCCCCTGGGGGGCCCCCCTGGTGGCCCCCTGGGGGCCCCCCTGGGGGGCCCCCTTGGGGCCCCCCCTTCTTGCGACTGCGGGGCCACTCCTTCCCCGTCTTCGAAGGGGGCCCCCGAGGGGGCCCTTCTTCTAGCGAAGAGCGCTACAAGGGCCCCTCTGCTGGACCGTGGGGGGCCCCCCTGCCTGCTGCCTATGAAAGGCTGCTGGGGGGCCCCCGGGGGGCCCAAGGAGACAGCTGCGGGGGCCCCTGTTGTATTAGGGGGGTACAGAGAGGAAGCAGAAAGGAAGAGAGGAGAAAACCGGCGCTGCTGCTGCTGCTGCTGCTGCTGCTTGTGGTGCTGCTGCTGAGGATGCTGGGGTGTATAGACAGCTGCCTGTGTTGTTGCTGCAGCAGCAACAGCAGCCAGAAACCAAACAAGAAGACGGGGCGCCCCGAAGGGTTTCATCTGTTGGGGCCCCCCCCCTCCTAAGCCCTAGGGGCCCAAGAGAAAGGGGTTCAGGGGGGCCCCCAAAGGCAGCAGCAGCAGCAGGGGGTGTTAGTAATACACCAGGGGGCCCCCGGGGCCCCCAGCCTCCCCTCTGTGTGTTACGAAGAAGAAGGAGATAAGCAATAAACACAAAACATAAAAAAACATCTATAGGGGCCCCCCTAGGCTGAGGTGTATACTGGGGGGGGCCCCCCAGCTGTGGCTTGGGGGCCCCCTGCGTCTCCGCGGTGGGGGGCCCCCCTTCTGTGCGTTGCTGCTGGTGTTGCGTTGAGTTTGTTTGTATTTGTGTTTTGTTTGTGTTTGTATTTGTTTGAATATAATAATATTTATATAAATAGATATAAAAAGAAGAAAAAAACAAAAAAAAAGGAGAGGGGGGCCCCGCGATGAGAGGGGGCCTCCTACGCTGCGGTGCTGCAGCAGCATTTGTATCTACCTTTTTCTCTGCTGCAGCAGGGGGCCCCCGTCTTTCTCTTTTTCTTTCTTCTTCTGTTTCTCTCTGTATTAAACCTTTTTTATTTCATCGTTTTCCTCTTTATACGAGCTCCTGCAGCAGCAAGAAAAGTGGGTACTTATGGGGGCCCCCGGGGGGCCCCCATGATGAGGGGGGCCCCCCCATCATCACCCCCGTGGCTGCTGCTGCTGCTGCTGCGGAGGTGCTGCTGCTGCTGCTGCTGCTGCTGCTCCGGTGTCTGTGCAGGTTGCGTGTGTTGTTTCTGGTTGATATATCATATATATAATATAAAATATATATATAAATAAACATTATATTTTATTTATTTTGTTTTTTTTCTCTTTCTTTGTGTCTTTAGGTGTTTGTGTGGGGCCCCTCGCATTCCTGACACGCAAGTGGCTCTGCCTCCCCTTGCAGCAGCAGCAGCAGCAGCAGCAACAGCAGCAGCAGCAGCAGCAGGAGCAGCAGCAGCAGTTGTTGTTGTCTACAACCTCACCGCTAACACGGAGGCCCCCATCATTCCTAGGGCCCCCTCTCTACTCTCCTGGGGCCCCCCAGCCAGTACCCTCTTTCATTCGCTCTTCTGCTGCTGCGTTTTCTTCTTCTTCTGCTGCTGCTGCTGCTGCTGTTGCTGCTAGCAAGATGACAACACATACAGCAGCAGGTGCTGCATCAGCAGCAGCAGGAAGCACCACGACAACGGTGACAACAACATCTCCCGATAAACCCCAGCAGCAGCAGCAGCAGCAGCAGCAGCAGCAGCAGCAGCAGCAGCTCGTGCTGCGGCCAACAAAAGCCCCCAAAGAAAAAAAACGCTTAGATTATAAACCCACGGACTTTCTTATCGACCACGTTAATCTATGCTTCCGCCTAGATGAAGAAGAAACCAGGGTCAGCAGCAGCAGCAGCAGCAGCAGCAGCAGCAGCAGCAGGAGTAGCAGCAGCAGGAGTAGCAGCAGCAGCAGCAGCAGCAGGAGTAGCAGCAGCAGCAGCAGCAGCAGCACCAGGAGTAGCAGCAGCAGCAGCAGCAGGAGTAGTAGTAGTAGTAGCAGTAGCAGCAGGAGTAGTAGTAGTAGTAGCAGTAGCAGCAGCAGCAGCAGCAGTAGCAGCAGCAGCAGCAGCAGCGGCTACTATTCTTTCTGCTGCTTCTCTTTCTCCCCACATTACCCCCCCTACAACACCTACAACCACACCTGCTGCTGCTTCTGCTTCTGCTGCTGCTGCTGCTGCTGCTGCTGCTGCTGCTGCTGCTGCTCAGGTTACCTCTATACTAACAGTTCGCCGGCGTGAGGGTACGCCCCCAGCAGACTTGGTGTTGGATGGTGAGGGTTTAGACTTAAGGAGGGTTTGGGTTGACGACAAGGAGGTACAGGGGGCCCCCCTGGGGGCCCCCAGCAGCACTGGGGGGGCCCCCAGCAGCACTGGGGGGGCCCCCGCTGGGGGCCCCCAGGGTGCAGCAGCAGGAGGGTACAGTGTAGATAGTGAGGGTTGTTTACATATATCT